ATATACAGTTACAACTTACAGCTTTTTAATTCTACTCTCTTACTCTCTTTTTTCTTTCTAGTAACTGCCAACTTAAATAGCTTCCCATTTTTAATACTGATTGTTTTGCAACTTTAATACTGATAGTTTCGCAACTTTAATACTGATAGTTTTGCAACTTTAATACTGATAGTTTTGCAACTTTCAATACTGATAGTTTTGCAACTTTATTACTGATTGTTTTGCAACTTAAATACTGATTGTTTTACAACTTAAATAGTGGTTGCTTCACAACATAAATAGTGGTTGCTTCATAACTTCAATAGTGGTTACTTCACTTGCTTGTGATCTTGTTAAAAATTTTTTAAATAAAAAAAAAAGTTAAGTTTCAATTAAATATTTTAAATACTTTGAATAACAAAATAAACATTTAATCGTTTTTTTTTTTAAATACACTTGAACTTTTCAGATGTTTATCTTTGTTTGCATTCAAAAAAAGTATATTTAAAAAAAAAGAAGATAGCATAATATAAAATAAAAATTTAAGCAGATGCAAGATTCTTTTACATAAAATGCTTAACACCTATGCCTAAAGTTTAACACCCATGTCAAATGTTTTAAGAGATGCCCTAACTGTTGTATTAAACTTATCAATAAAATATATAAAAAATAACTTAAAACAAAAGTTACATATATAAAAAAATACTTTATATCCATAGCTTTATTCTTTAAATCAATCGCTCTGTCGTAGTCCTTTTTACTTTCATTAAGGATTCGATCAACATCAGTTAAATTTGTGACCACTTGCCTAATTTGATCTGCCAATTCCTTTACATCATCAGGCGTAAGGGAAATGTTCAATTTTATTGTTTCCAAAGATAAAGCTCTTGAAATATTAGGGTGATTTGTTGAAGAATTCAAAAATATCAATATTTCCTAGATGATTTTTCAAATATTATTAATACATATATATATATATATATATATATATATATATATATATATATATATATATATATATATATATATATATATATATATATATATATATATATATATATATATATAATTAATCACAAAATAGTCTGTAAAATAATAAATAATATTTTATAAATATTTTTAAGAAATAAAGGACAATCATTTACTTTTTATTAACCAGTTTATAAGAAGTTTTAATAAAACATCTTGTTACAATAGAAACGTATATTTTCAAATATAATATTAAAATAACAATACTATTGTAAAAAGTAAAAGTACCAGGGTTGGCATTAAAAAACCCGCCCAATTAAACCCCCCTAAAAAAACCCAATAAAACCCGGGGAAATCGGGGTTTTATTGGGTTTTTTAAAGATATTTAATAAGTTTATGAACTATTTTAACCAACTTTAACATTATAACTATAATATTATTAACTAAAATAATTATTAACTATTATTACTAACTAAATTATTATTAACTATTATTATTAACTATTATAACCAACAATAACAGCTATCAGAGCAGGTTTACTAATATTTGAATCATTATTTGGAAATACATTATTACAATTTTTATGCAAATATTTTTATCGATTGAGATTTTTTAATCTTTTATGTTATTCACCTCCTAAGGTGAATGAGTAGTAGTGGCCAGAGAAGCCCACTACAGTCGAGGAGGCTACGTTATTGTGGTTTCAACTCTCTCTCAACTCCTAAACTCCTAAACACAAATCTTTATAAACAAGACCGCTGTGTGGAGAAACAAGTTTGTTCATTTGAATTTCAAGTTCAAAGTTTAATTGAAACTTCAGTTACTACCTCCCATTCTCTAGCCTTCTTTTCCCCATTTCTCATTGACATTTTTAATTATATAGATTAATACTTTAAATTTAAAATAAATCAATACATATAGATTTAATGTGAAAATTTTTTTTTCTTACAGTTTTAAATTATAATTAAAAATCTTTTTCAAAATAATTTGAAAAATTCTTGTTATAAATTATTAAATAACAATATATAAAATATATTTTAAATAAAGTTAAAGTAGAAAATGAAACTAATTTTCAATATCATTACACAAAAAAACAAAATTTTTTTTTAGAGACGAAATAAAAATAAAACCCAAAAAAACCCAAATTTACCCAATAAAACCCAAAATTACCCAAAAAAACCCCACTGGGCTGGGTTTTTTAAAAAAAACCCGGGTTTTTGCCAACCCTGAAAAGTACACACAAAAATGACCGTACAAAAAAATTTACAAACTTTCTTAACTTTTATGATTTTTATTAAAAAATTATATTTTGTTGCACCACTACTATTTTTAATTATAGCTTTCATATGACGTGGCATGGATTCTAACAATTTTAAGATCATTCCCTTGAAATTGGTAGAACATATTCTCTAAAAATTATTTTCTTGGTCTCTATTTTGCTGGCAGAATTATACTTAGAACTTTATTCTCTAAAATTTTCTACAAATGGTCAATAGGATTTATATCCAGACTCTATGGAGGTGTATTTAATAATTTTGGAGTATTGTGCAGTTGCCATTCCTCCACTATATGCGCCATATGCTTCAGGTCATTATCTTCTTGAAAATAATAAACCCTCAACATACTAAATTTTTCAACAGTTTGGTAAATTAGTTATCAAAGTGTTAAGATAAACGTATTCATAATACCTTAATAAGTATATAATAATAAGTATCCTGTAACACTTGTTCTCATAGCACCTAACACAAAAAGAATAAAACCAACACCATGTTTTATCGTTTTAACAGTATTTTTATGATTGATTTCTGTATTTGGTTCTACATATAATTTGTTTCATTTGAACTAAAAAGATTTATTTTTGTTTAGCCTGTAAATACTACACTGGAGGTTCATTTATGCATTTTAACTCTAAATAAATCTTTTTATTCATGTCAAATATGTATGGTTGCTACTCTACCATTATAGTTGTTTTTATTAATACCTGTCAAACGATTTAACAGAAAGTTTATTAATTCTCTTAGGCACATCTTCTTTTAACTGTGGCACACTTTATTTTGGATTATTTTTTATTTCTTGTAAAATGTAGCGCTATCTGTTTTAGATTCTTTTTCTGCCTCTTCCACTGTTATTTGTTAATTTTCCTTCATATCTTAATTTATTTATTGTATATTGTATCGTTGAATGTCTGCTGTTAATGACTTTTCCTATTTCTCTCATTGTATGACCTAGAAAATACAGCTTGGTTGGATGTTTCTAATGTAAGACCATGAGAATAAAGTTTTACAATAATTTTTCTTGTATAAACATCAGTTTCTTGTCGAATATTTTCCATTATGTTAATATTGAAATTCAGTATTTAGCATACCATAGCAAACACAATACTAGTTATTGCATGTTTGTTAAGAAAAAACAAACAAAAAAAACAAGTTTATTTGATTAGGCAAAGATTTGTTACTTTAAAAATTATAACCTTACTGTTGGTAACAATTTAGCCTTGTTGAACTATTTGTTACTTGTTGAACTATTTGTTCATTCTTGCAAATACTTTTTGAATGTTAGTTATGCATTGGTTGTAACTAAACTTGATCATTTCTAATTTTTCTTCTTGTCCTGGTTCATTTAAAACCTCTTTTTATCATTCTTCAGCCTATTTTAAGCCTTGTAAACAATGATAATTTTAAAAAATTTTAATGTTGACTAATTTTTATAGTTAAACTGAAAATGCAAAACAAAACAAACAAAAAAATTATTCATTTTTTTATAACTACTTGTTATTCATTATAAAACTATTTTCCTTTAAAATACAGATAAACTTTTTTTGTAGGATGCCATTTTTAATCCTCTGCTTTCCTGCAAGATTTAAAGAGCCCTTTTTCTTAAATTTTGAAAAATCTAAAATATTTACATAAATAAAAACCTATAAAATATAAACATAAAATTTACATTTTGATAAAAATGATGACAACATAACTAACAATCCTTAACAATACCTACTATTTTTGGAACAACAACTTTGTTACCACTCTCCCTATAATTTAGCCAACCTTATGCTGATCATTAACTTAATTTGTTTAGATAATATGTAAATAATTTATAAATAATAATTTATAAATAATTTGTAAATAAATAAGAAAAATTATGAACTGATACTATTACTAAAATGCTATTTTATGATAAGTAATTTTAATAATAAACACTCTGATAATATAAAGTTTTCTGTTGAATTTATTGAGAATTTATAAATATGGATCTTTACTATAATTTTAATATGGATCTTTACTTCTTTAGAAAAGTTAGGAAAAAAAATTATTGGGTTTAAATTTAAAATTCAAAGGAAGTACTTAATTTTAAAACAGAAAAATATATATATATATATATTACTTGAATTAAAGATGTAATATTGTTCACAGCATTTTCTGCAATTCTCTTTGCTTCATTTGATGATTTGCTAGCAGAACTAGCAGCCTCTTTAGAGCTTAAAGCAAGAGCCTGCACAACTTTTAGGTTTTCAACCATATGATTTACAGCAACTAAATTATATCATACACCAGTCTTAATTAAATGAAAAATTTAAGAAAAAAAAAAAAAAGGATAACAATCAAAATAAAAAATAAAGTTTTTATTTGAAAGTAAACAACAAAAACAAATTTTTTATTAAATTTTCTCCTCAAAGACATCAAAGAAGACTAATTAAAGAAAATTGGTATACCTTTCTTTTCTTCTGTTACAAATGCCGCCTGCTTTGCATCTGTAAAAGCAATGTCTACCATATTTCTTAATCCATCACAATTACAACTTATGCAGCTAATACGGTCACAACCACAAGAGGTATTTTCTTTACTTCCACACAAAATTGCATTCAACGCCTTAAGTTTTAACTCTAAGAGTGAAATGTATTCTGTTAAATTATCCAACAACTTGTTATTGTCTTTATCTAATTTTTCAAAAGATTTATCATTTTTGGGAGAAATTATTGTATTTTTAATTTTCCGTCGAGTTACTTTAGATTTTGAAATAATATCATCTGTGACATTAATAAGTTGTTGTGCTTCTCTAGATCGTCTTTGACTATCCAAAGTACTATTAAAGCCTCCTTCAATATTTCCTTCTTGCAATGTTGTAACATTCTCCCTGAAATCTTTAGCATCCTTTTTCAAAGATCCCATTCGCAATTCTAACATGTCAAGCTCAATATTATCATATTGTAAACGCTGTGTATTATTAGCAACTACAACTGATAAGTTATCAGCTTTTAGTGCAAGACCATCCAATAACAATTTAAAAGCTGTATGCTTTGTTCGAAGTGCATCAACTTCTTGTGCGGTCAACGATATATTTTTCATATAATTTTCTATATCTATCAACCTGTCATTCAACTCTTCTATATCTTGATTGTATGAAGAAATTTCACTTGCATTGAATGTAACATTACCAATCAAACGTTTCAAATTCAAAATTTTTATTTCCAACTCATTAATTATGTCTTCCCACTGATCATTACATGTATGACAGTTGCTGCAAGTAGGCATTTTGCCTGATGTGCGAGGAGCACACATATCACACTTTTCACCAACAACATTAGGTTTACATTTGCAAACACCAGAAGTTCTGTTACACTGAAGATCAGCAGAGCCTGCTGGATTGCAGTTACATGCTAAATAAAAAATACAACTGCTTATGGTTCTTTATAGCAATCAATTTTTTTTCAATTTTTATCATTTTTTCATTTATTATTTCATTATTTGCTGTTTAAAAAATAAAAATTCAAAAAAAAAAAAGAACAAGTAATTTAAAATAATATTTACAAATCATACTAAAAGAAGATAAATCACTGAAAGCCTTATCACTAAGTCCCAATCTTAAATGCTTTAATTATTTTTATTTTTTTAATTATTTTTGCGTAATTATATTACCTTAAATCATCAAACTAACCAATGCATAATTACCTTAAATCATCAAACTAACCAATGCATATACCATTTTTGTTTTTGATATATACCATTTTTATTTTTGACATTCTGTTTACAATTTGTTATAAATAATTTTAAAAATAAAAATAAACAAAAAGTTAAAAAACTCCTTATAAAGTACCAAAAAACAAATTAAATTACCTTTACAGCCTTTTATAGTTTTTGGCATACCCCACGAATAATTCTCACATTCAGAACAGAACTGCCCACCAAAACCAACTCTACATTTACATTGACCATTTGTCTAAATATAAAGATTAAATATTTTCCAAACTTTATTATTTATTCCCATTTTTGAAAATATAAAAAAATTTAAATATTAACCATATCAACTAATGACCATAATTATATTTAATAATATACCATATTTACAAATAACTATAACTACTATTAATAATACTTAATATTAATGATATATTTATAACCTTATCACATGTTCCATCCAAAGATCCCTCGAGATCACACATACAATTTCTACAACCTTTCCCAATAATCATTTCATAAAATCCATCAGCACATTTATCACAATTCATTCCAACTACATTTGGTAAACAGGGACACTGACCAGATACAGAATTGCAATAACCACCTGTATTGTTGTTAGTGCCCAGACTATTGCATTCACATGCTTGGAAAAAATTAAGTAAGCTTTGTAAGCCAAAATAGAAAAAGAAAAAAAAGAAAAGAGGGTGGGGTGAGGTGGGAGTGTAGAATTGAAAATATTCCACAACATATATATTATATAAAAATAGATGATAAAAATAAAATCTAAAAATTAACTCATACACTAATGCTAAGCTTAACTCAGAGGCTTTTTAATACAACAGCAACACCAATACCTTTACAACTTTGTTTTGAAGCATTTCCATAAAATCCTGGTTTACATGTTTCACAAAAATCACCAAATGCATTGTTAAGACAGTTGAAACATTTTCCAGTTGCACTATCACATTTAGGAGTTGAAGCCGAATTAATGTTACCATTACATAAACACTTTTTACAAGTGCCACCTTGAATCAATGGATTTCCGTAATACCCATTATCACATTTCTCACATTGAGTACCTAAATTTTTAAATTAATAATAATGATTTCAACATTTTTATTATATTCATTTTTACAATTAAAAAAATTCACCACATATTATATTGATTTGTAGTTATGATACCATTGTTCCACAAAGCAATATAATATATTAAACCACTAAAAATATATTAGTCTATTATAAAATTTAACATAGTAAAACAAACTTAGTACAAAGGAATATAATGTTGAAGTACAAAGGAATATAATGTGGAACTGCAAAAACTGCAAGTTAAAGAACTTTGTTAGTTAAATAATGACACATTTAATAAAAATATTCAATAATAATAAATATAATTTTGAAAATATAATATCATATTTAATTTCTTCTAAGAATTTTTTTTTTGTTTGTTTAGAAAATGAGGCTTTCTAAAGAGTTTAAACAACTTTTTGTAAAAATAAAAAATAAAAAAAGAAGAAATAAATCTTTCTGTATGTAAACACATTAAATACAGTGCTAAAAAAATATATATTTAAAATAACAACCTGTAAAACCTTCAGAACAGTTTGTGCAAAAAACCTTTCCAACATCTCTTAATTCACAAGTATTACTAAATTGATTTCCACTGCTACCACCAGGGCATTGGCATCGCTGACATGCATTTTCAGTACCTTGATAATCCAAAAGTATTTTAAGCACAACTTTCAACAATAATTTAAGCAATATTTGGAAAAACTTATTTTTAATTAGATAAAACTTAAAATAATGCCTAGACATACAAAATTTAAAAAGATTTCTAAAAAGATAAAGGGGAAATTAAAAAGGATTTAAAAAAATACCTAGTAGAGCATTCCCATAATACCCATCCTTGCAAAGCTGGCAGTTTGTTCCCTTAGTATTATGTAAACAGTTATTACATACACCTGTGGCAGCATCACAAGTACTTGAATGTCCATAACACTTACACGGTTTACAATCAGGAAATCCAAAGTGGTTTTTAGGACAAGAGTTGCATGTACGCCCTTCAAGACCTTCTTTACATAAGCACTCACCAGTAAAATCATCACACAATAGATTTTTTGACCCAACACGACTGCAATTACATGCTAAAATAGTTATATGAAATTTTATTTTTCATAGTATGTCATATACGCCTTTGTAAAAGTCATAATTTTAATGTTATTCATCATTTGTATGTTGTATACGCCTTTGTATAAGTCATAATTTTATGATGTTATAGGGCCTAATTATATAGGGCCACCTTTTAAACTGTATATAAATAAAGTAAAGAACAAAGAAATGGTCAAAACATTAATTTTTTACTAAAATGCACAAAAAATAAAAAAACATGCGTTAAAAAAAAATTATTATGAAATCAAATAAAAATAATATTACTAACCTTTACAACCTTCAGAACCAAATCCATAGTATCCTGTTTTGCATCGATCACATCTTCGACCAATAACACCAGGTTTACATGGACACTGCCCACCAATGCTTTCACAAGTTAGTTTTTCACTTAAACCAGTTGAAACTGTGCCTTGAACATCACAATCACAACTACTTGCTCCATTGTTTAGTTGCGTTGAAATAGAAAACTGAATTTTTTTGCACACATCTGGAACTTGTTTTTCGAGCACTGGATTTAAATAGTAATCAAGACAATTATTTTTCTCCCATAAGTCTTTATAATAGGCACCATCTTGCCCTTCCATAACATCAAAGTCATCAACATTTGGTATAAGAACAATCTAGATATTATTTAAAATAGGAAACTTTAATATCCAAAAATAAAGAAGAAAGTTACAATGCAGATCTTCAAAAAAAAAAAAAAAAAAACTATTTTAAAGATATTTTAATGCAAATAAACAAAAAGAAAATCAATAACATTTTTTAAAGTGTATCTGTTAGGGTGATTCAAAAACAACTTTTTTAAAAAATGTTTCAAATGAAGCAAAATTATACAAAATTTTCAAAAATATGAATCATTTTGTAATCAACTTATAATTTTAGATTTTAGTGAGCACAAAATGACAATTTTTAACTAAAAACGAATAATAATAAATTTAACAAGGTAATTTTTTCTCTCAATGTTTTTTTATAAAATAATGATTATTTTTAAACTTTTTATATTGTTTCGCTTTGTTGGAGACCCATAACTTTTGAAACACCTTTTTTAAATAACATAATTTTGAAAAAGCTTTTTTAAATAATATTAAGGACCTATTAAATGTTCGAATTTTTTAAATCCAGTATCATTTTATTAAATAGAACACATTTTGGAGGTGCAGGTGACATTTTTAAAAAACGTTGTTTTTTTGAATCACCCTAATATCTTTATATAATTATTTTCATAATTAATAAATTATTATAATAATTTAAAATAATTAAATCAAAAAATTGAAAAAAACTAAAAAGCTAATATGGAAATTTAATCGACAAATAATTACCGATAGCTAATAACGAAATAATAACTTCTAATAATTAATAATTACTTACTGAATCAACAAAGGTTTCTCCATCTGGCTCTCCTAAATTCTTAATAAAATTAACTTGAACATCATAGACCACTCCTTTAACAAAACATATATCATTAGTAAGAGCTTCATTCATTTTAAATTCTGACAATATCGGATAGTATAAAACTTTGTTATCATTAATAACAGCACATCCATCTCCTCCTAGCTCCCTGCCATCTTTACGTTTTACTGTAACAACAACATCTCTCCATTTACCATGGTTCTAAACAGGAATTTAAATTAATTTTGAATTTAAATTTATGCAGAGAAAAGGACTGAAAAAGTTAGTTACCTATGGAGAAGTAAAACAGAGAAATTTAAGTGAAAAATTATAAAGTATTGTAAAAGGTAAATAAGATCATGTTACCAACTAAAAATGCTATGATATATACTTATGATATATAAAATTAACATATTTTGATGCACTTTAAATGAAAATACCGAATATGACAATGATAATGGCAAATATAGCAATGATAAAACCAAATATAGCAATGATGATAACAAATGCTAAAATTAATATAGCATTTATTCTACCATTTACCAACAAACATTTTTTTCTTAGAAACATAAATTTTATCTTGTATAATTATAACAATTTTTATAAACTTCTAAAGTTGACAGTTTAAAAAGTTAACTTTTTAAACTTTAAACTGTTTACTTTTAGAAAGTATAAAAAAAAATTACACAAAAAATTATAAAATTTAGTATACTATAAAATAAAAAAATACCATGGCATAAAATTACAAAGTAACAAGACAAAGTAGAATAACATTACAAAATTTACACTAACTATACAATGTGCCACTAAACAAATGTTGCACATAGCATATGTACAAACTTTGTTATAACTCAGTTAACTTTCAAAAATAGTCTTGCTTTTGAACTAGGATGTTTATATAGCAAAAAATACAATAGTAGTTTAAATGCAGTAGTGATAAAACAGTTATTTTGTAATCAAGAATACAATGCTTAGCTTGATTCTCTATGCAGTGCCCTCGCTATTCAAGATTCAAGTTTTTCAGAATTATAGCTATATAAATATATAAATATATATATATATATATATATATATATATATATATATATATATATATATATATATATATATATATATATATATATATATAATGCAATTTTTTACACTTTTTGGGTCCTTCTCAATGGAGTTAAAGCATTATAAAAAATACTTTTGCTATTGAAATTACTCCACACAAAAAAAACAAACCGAATTAGATGTTGTAAGAGAAAATTTGACATATAAATAGATTAGATGTTGTAGCAGAAATTTTGACAGGTAAATAGCTTTAATAAAATTTAGAACTAAAGAAGTGTATAATGTGACAAACTATTAAAATTAAAAAAATCTTGTCTTACACTGTTAAAAGACAATTTATACTAATATTATTTATACTAATATAAATTATAATATTATATAAATATATACTAATATTATTTTGGTGTGGCAGAATAGTGTTGCAAAATTTTGATTGTTGTAAATTTGATTGTCGAAAATTTAAAAAAGGAATAGCTTTGCAAATTGTCACATTATTGATTGTCGACTAACAGAATATAATAAAAAGGCTTAATGTCTCAAAAAAAAGCATAGTTTCGCAAATGAATTTAATGAATAGTGTTGAATATAAAAAAAGGAATAATGTCACAAAGGAGATAAATGAATAAAAAAAAAAAAAAAAAAAAAAAAAAGAATAGTGTCACAAACGAATTTAATGAATAATGTTGAAAAATAAAAAAAGAAATAATGTCCTAAAGGAGTTTAATGAATAGTAACAAAAATAAAAAAAATATAATAACTATAAATGTGTGTTTAAAAAACATGTCTGATGTCATACTAAAATAGCCTGCTGCCAGGGGCTTCAGTACATACATCAACTATCTTATAGCCTGCTGCTGCAAAGGAGTGCCACTATATCTACTGAGGGCTTAGAGTTTGGTAGCAATGTTTTCTTTGTTTTTTTCTTTTTTTTTAAAGCTGTGTGATATAAAGATAAGCAAAACGAGTAAGCAATTGCTGAAGTTTACTATTTGCAACACTATTCTGTTTTTAATATTTGCAACACTATTCTTTTTATTTGTTTTTGACACTATTTTTTAAATTCAAATGCAACACTATTCCTTTTTTTTCGTTTTTAAAACTATTCATTAATTTCATTTGCAAAACTATTCTTTTTTTTTGAGACATTAATAATAAGCCTTTTTAATATATTCGACACTATTTCGAAGTTCATTTTTTGGATACTATTCTTGTCAGCCATTATCTTAATTTATTGTTTTATTTTCTATTGTTTTGATATATTGTTGCATTATTCTTACATCACACAAATTACATCTATCACATAAATTACATCTATTACATGAATTACATCTACCACACGAATTACATCTATCACACGAATTACATCTATCACACGAATTACATCTATCACACGAATTACATCTATCACACAAATTACATCTATTACATATTTTTATATCAATTACAATTATTATGTAAGAACTACCTATTGTTTTGATTGTAGTTTAACTGTAAAACAATTATCAACAGTTATGAAACCTTTAATTTTGATTCAACCAATTCAAAATAAGAGAATCAAACATTCAAATATACTTTTTATTAACTGATAGCATATTCAACAATGATTTTATGCAAATGACAAAATAAATAAGCAAATCAACTACAACAATTACATAAAACAACAAAAAAAATGTATGACTTAGTTCTAAATTAAAAAGCAATTCAATAATCTTCATCAAGCTTTATTTGACATGCTTGAAGGTTTGTAGAAAGTAGAAAATAAAACCTAGCGTTGAGCCATGCGGCAAATCACTTTTTTTTTTTCTACATTTGTCTTTTATTTAAATATTTTCATGGTGCTTTATCAAATGCTTTAGAAATTCTTTGTAAATAACATTTTGACATTGACTTGACATTTTTAGTCAATTTTATTTTTCAACAAAACAAGCTAAGTTTAAGCATGCAAACAAATAACCTAAATGTTATTATGCAGTATAAAATAATAACAGAATCCATCAAATAAAGCAAACTTGCTGAATGCTTTAAAAAATGTTTAAAAAATTACTGTAATTTAGTGCATTAAAAATTCATTCATGCCTGACAACGTTGTGACTGCTACATTTATAAATTGTTTTAAAGTAAGATATATAAAATCTGAAAATGTTAAAACTTCGAATTGAAAAATGAAAAACAATGAATTAAGTTTACCAATTTTTTATTAAGTTTCTGAGGCTATCATGATGATAATAAAAGCTCTATTTATTCAACTAATAAAAAATTTAAATAAACTTTATGTTAAGATCTAAAAAAAATATTTCTTCTAAATAAAAATATAAAATATGTCATTACCTTGGCATCATAGCGAATATATATTTTGTAAGAACCAGTTGAAGGAACTCGAACAGTGGAAAATTCAATGACAGAACCTTCTTTCACCCCCACACCACCTTCACCTGTCCAAGTTATATTATCACCCTCATTGACTATTATTTTGCGAACATTGAATGGAGTCTATAAATATTTCAATCAAACTTATGCTGTTCAATACATAATTATGCTATGCCCATAAAAAAAGATTTTTTAAAATAAATTATTAAAAATTTTTTATACATCAACTTCTCCAGGCACCGAGTCTTCCCCTTCATATTTGTTATGACTAAGGTCTTCTACATAATAGCCTGTTTGAACTAAATTACACTGACGCCCAATAATGTTTCGTTTACATTGGCAACTTCCTGAAATGTCATCACAAACACTGCTAACAGAGCCACCAACATCACAACCGCATTTTTGGCAACCTTCTTTAGTGGAACCAAGAGCCCAAAAACCATCCTTTAATAAAATTATTTTTCAATGTTTTTATTCTTATCATTAACAATTTATGATTTGCGCCATTAATAATATTAAATCTGATCTGGTATTTTAAACTATTAAATTAACACAAAATAATACCAGTATGTCAAATAAATGTGTTACATTTCAATTTATTTAAATAATGATTTACCATACACTTGCTACATGTGAAGCCTTGCACATTTCGCTTGCACCGACAAATTCCAGTTTGTTGATCGCACTTGTTAATTTCAACGGAACCTCTTTCATCACAGTTACAAGCTATATAAATTTTATTAGAATCAAAGCATTATATTTAAAATAAAGTAATGAAATAATGCATTAGTTTGCTGTACAACTTGGTATTTCTGTGAAACATTACCAAATGTACTTTGGTTTGGAAACTAATATAGGTTATTAATTCACTCAGTGAGTGATATAAATAAATGCATCACAAATATAGCATCAGCTGCTAATAAAAAAGTCAAGAAAAGCAAGAAATTAAAAACCTAGAAAATAATTAAAAAGAAATTAAACTATTATAAATAACTTACACTGGCATCCTTCACTTTTTGACTCTAATAGATTCCAAAATCCATTTTTACATTGGTCGCATCGCTTTCCTTCAACATTTGATTTACAAATACATTTTCCAGGAATAGAACTTAAATGTTCTTCTGAGCCTAATTTTACAACACTACTGACTGTTTCACATTCTCCTCTACCAATTGAGCCAGAAGGGTCACAATCACATTCTAAAAACATTAATAGTTGTGTATTATTAAATTGTTTTTATACTTTGATTGTATTTTTTAAGAAGTATTTCAATTTGTTAAATAAAACCTTTATTGAGACACCATACAAACAGTCTTCTCTGTTTGAAATGTACCGCCAGTGCAAAAAAAAAGCGCTGGCCAGACAGTAATTATTTGTCTAGCATGCCCGATTTTGAAAAGTATTTGTTTTTTGTACCTCTTTAATTAGAATTTGATTAAAAACATGTTTGAAATTTTTGGCAAGCATTTAAAAAAGCGCCTGATGTAGTATTGGCAGGCGTGTGGGAGAGTGCGAAAGCGCTCGTCAAACGGAGAAGACTGTAAAACATACATATCTAATCTTATTTATGTAACACTCTCTTTAACACCCCCTCTAATAATAACAATTATTTTATTATAGCAATTTCTTGGATCATGTTTTTTTATTCTTTATCAAATTAATCACCATCAAAGATTTATGCAGTAATGCATTATAAATTTTGGTTTAACTACTGTAACTATTGTCTTATTTGAAAATATTTTTCGAAGAATGTTACTAGAGTATCTTTGCACTTAGTTTAAAAGAAGTAAGTACATGAAAAAAATACTCAATATGAGGACAAAAAAGAGACACATAAAGATGCCAATATTTACATTAAAAGCTAACATTACACTGAAAAAGTTAATTTTGCAACAAACTTTACACGTGATGTTTAAATGAGATATGAGAAGTAATAATCCTAGAAGTCAAAACACATTTCATTAACTAAATTTTATTAAGGAAATTTATACAATACAATTATTACAATTAAACATAAAAAAATTCATTAGTTATGACTCATAAAGCAAAAATTATAAAGTAGGAAATATCAAAAAATAGAGTTATTAAAATATAAAGTTTCTTTAAAAAAAAAACA